CTCTCTCTCTCTCTTTCTCTCTCCCTTTCTTTCTCAAATTTGTCTTTAAATTTTTTACTTTAAATTATTTATGTTGGCGTTTTCTCTCTCATTTTAGTTGTTTCAATATTTTATTTGAGATATTGAGAAAATAAAGATAAATAAAAATAATTTGTATACAGAAAGCAGCGAAGTGTTCGGAGTATATACAAAAGCAGTAATCCGCGAATTAGTGAATCTGGAGAGGACACAGATGATCAAAGTATGATTAGCGATAGTTTCCGAAGAAAGGATCTCTCCAGACACGCAGCTTTAAATACCTTTCCACCTCTCTCGAAAACTATTCAGTCGTCAAAGGCGTACAGTAATATAGCATTGTCGAGAGCCGATCTTCAATCCATTCCTCCGGAGTTGACGTCTTTCATCGAACGGCAGGAGGATTATATCGAACAACTGGAACGAGAATCTCAATACTGTAGAGATGAGCTGATCAATCTGTTGAGTAAAGTTCGCGAGGTATAATATTTTTAAAATATTGAAGTATTTAAGTAGTATTCAAGCTAGTATATCCAAGTTATTAAAATATAATGATGAGTAGAAAAAGGAGATGTAATGAGAGAAATTTTGTTATTCAATTACCATGGTAGGTCGTAGCCGAAAACGATGCGTTGCACAGCAGGAATCAAGTTGCATTGTCCAAATGCGTTCTGCAAGACCATAAAGATCGCTGTGTGTCGAATCACGAATGTCACAAGCAGGGTGACACGGGCGATCATGCAGTTGCAGACAACGGCACACGGTTGGAATGCAAACGGGAGAAAGCCTTGGAAGGACCCAGTATAATGTTCGAGTCGAGAATTAGCGAGTTAGAGGCACAACTGACCCAGGCCAAACTGGAGTTACGAAAGGCGCAAGAGGAGAATCAGGTGAATTTGAAGCGTTTATCCGAGGGTGGTTCAAGCGAGAGCAATGCCGAATTGAAGGCCGAATTGGATAAGGCTCTACGCGCCAAGTATGAGGCTGAGATGAAGCTGGAAGAATCGCAGAAGCTGCTGTCGGTCGCGCGAGACAAAGAGACCGAGGCGACGCATAGAGCGAGACGGTCTATGGACGATAGGCATGAGATCGAGTTTGAGAGGAACCAGAGCGAAATGGAGATTCGAAGATTAAAGGACGAGCTGGAGAGGCAGCATGAAAAGTTACGGGAGGCGGCCCAGGACGCGAACAGACGCATCACCGAAGAGAGGCAGCAAGTGGAGCGTCGATACAATCAGCAAATCGAGCAACTCACCGCTGACATTGCGACGTATTGGGAGACGACCAACAAATCGCAATTGGAATCCGAGAAACAGCGGCGAGAGATAAATGAATTGAGACGAGAATTATCTCAGAAACAAACCGCCATGGACAATTTGAAGAAAGAGCTGCAAAATAAGATATGTAAGTTTATGTTGCTCGATTTAATGAGCTTATATATTATATGCAGTAAATATCAACAGTCTCGGGAGATCTAATTATGTGCGATTTAAAAATGTAAACGAAGAAATATTCTCGTGCTGTTTAGCCACCTTGCAGAGTGATTTGAATCAAGCGTTAAGCGAGAAAGACGCGGCGGAGCAAGAAGTCTTGACCGGTAAACTGGCGGCTGAACGAAGCGACAGGCAGGCTCGTCAAGAGCAGAGCAGATTCCAGGCAGAAATAAATTCGTACAAGCAGCGTCTGGAAAGAGCGGACGCCGATTTGGTACATTGCAGACGAGAAAATCTACGACTGTCGGAGCAAATAGCATCTTTAGAAAAAGAGGTAAATATCGCTTGAATGCAGTCATTTTAATCGATTAATATTATCGTAATATTATCAAGTAGATAATACGCGATGAAGTGTATATCTAAAGGTTTCCGGAATTGGTTGGGTAAAAGAATAATATTTGCATTTATTTTTTATTTTGTATGGATTTTTTTTAACTTTTCTAATAAAATTATCTTTAGAAGCTAATTGCTTAAAAGCACTATGATGACACTCTCAATTAAAGTTTGAGCAGGTTTATTTAAAAGAGAATAAAATTTTACGAATAGATATTTTTTTAATATGTATATATATATATATATATATATATATATATATATATATTACAATGAGATCATATTAAAAAACTTTTTGCAATCTTTGGTGACTTTTTTATCATATAGAAATAACGATATTAAAAAAATATCTATTCGTGAAATTTTATTCTCTTATATTTTATATATATATATATATATATATATATATTATATACATATATATCACATGGCAGCTACTATTTCATATATTTAATATATTGTAATAAATTCGTGATATTTAGCGGCACAAACTGTAATAGTTTCGATTCATACGGGAGATTATTCCGGGGATTTTTCCGGGTATTTGATTATAATTAAAAAATTAAAAGGATTACTGAAGTAAGAAATTTCATTGAGATGCGAAATAAAGTTTGAATATTGTATGTACGTTTTCAGATCAGTATGAGTAAAATTGTACGATCCGAAGAGAATCGTAGCGAAATTACGCCTAGATTGGAAAACGAGAAGGAATTAACATCCATGATAATGAATATGGAGACTAAACATGGTAAGATATCGCCTTAGGTATGCCTATGTTAGGTATATATTGTCCGTGAAAAGTGTTATTTATTAATTGTTGACAATGACTTTGACTTAAGAGTATTTGTCTTTATGTGTGAGAAATCGGCATGCGCCTGACACTATATATGCCTAACATAGGCGGAGTAATTGAGATTTAAGTCAAATAACATCGCTAACAGCGCTGACCAAGGCAACCAAATTTCGCAGCTGCCACGGTGGCGGGCCTAGAAGACGCCCTGAGTAATCAGGCCACGCTCGTCTCGAGATTGACCGCCGAATGCCAATCTCTCACACAGCGTTTGGAAGCTAACAATCTTAAACACAAGTATATTCTTAGTCCGACTTGCGGAAACCGAATGAAAGATATAACGCACGTAGCTTCAGGCTGTCAGACGTTTACTTAGCTTTATAGTTAATTCTCATTAATCAGACCCTGAAGAAGCGTAGCTTGATTCATTATTGATTTATTAACACCCATTGTTGCGCGTGCGTTTATTACGCGATTTTCCAATTAGTAGATACTCTGGTGAAAAAAATTCTTATAATATCTTTTAATATTTTTAAGAATTTTTCACATTTGATGAAGATCTCTAAATAATACTTTTAACATTTTCAGATTTTATAAGTTTTTCTTCTGCAGAAAGTATAGAATGAGAAATCTTAGAAAATTTCAGAATTCATATATATATTTTTATAACAATTTTTAGAAAAGATGTAGATTTTCTCAGCATTTCTGAAAAGTATTTCAAATTATATAGCAAAGTTGAGAAATTAAAAAAAAATTATAAAATCATATAGGAATTCTGAAGAATTTAGAAATTTATATAAAAATTCTAAAAAAATTACATGAAGAATTTTAAGAAAAATTTTCGCCAGGATAGGAATGCACCACTTCTTCTTCTCACTATATATATATATATTTATATATGGGGCTATTCTGTGTTGACAGAGGGGGTCGTTGAGAGAGATGTGACAACGGTTGCAGGGCAAACCGCTTCGCCTTCGAGCAAGAAACGTACCGTTAAGGTTGATCTAAAAGTAAAAGTAATTCCGAAAAAGAAGTCTGACACCTCCAAAACATCTCTATCAGCACAGTAATAGCGAGATTCGAGTGTGTGTCCTAATACAAGTTACATTATTACGCTCGATGTGACATATTGATTTTCCGCTAATAGTCAAACTTATAACTTTTAACCCCGTATCTGTTAAACTCGTTTACTCGTTTATCACACAGGGAAGAAATGGCCGACTTACAAAGCAACATAGAACACTTGTCAAGTAAAATACAAGGCAGCCTTGTAAGTCATGCAGGTATTAATAATTTTAATTAATTCACTGCACGCAAACGTCTCTAACTCGCACGTACATAACGAATGTTGAGTGACCTGATTAAGGATAATTTTTCAGAAGGAATTGCTATGGAAGCTAACGATGGTACTGGAGCTTTTCATTATAACGCTACGATGGATTCAGTAGTCTCGCCGCATACGAACGGGTTACCAGTCAATGCTCAAATGGTACATCAGGGATACGATACCGCAAGCAGTCAACAAGTAACGAGCGAAGAGTCAGAAATGCAGTATTCGAACGCGACGAAGAGAAATGACCTACAGATGCACGGCGACTTGTATGCAGGTTTGTCGGGTGATCAAAATAACTTTGTATCGAATACAATGGAAACCGCTGCAGGGATGTATCAGCAGCAAGGAGAAGCGAATAACGAAGAATACGCAGCGAACGGTTCAAACATGGAAGCTTACATGATGGGGCATGATCAAAATCAATACGACGAATATGATACTTCACAGTATCCAGAAGAACAGTATGTTAATGGTAACCAGTTTAACGTGATGACAGATCAGACGGAAAATAATCAATCTTCACGTAGCTAGAACCAATATATACTGAAACTCTGCACTAAAACGTATTCTCTGTATTAATGACATATACGCACAAAGATAATGTTAATTCATGAGCAATTGAATACATGAAGAATATATAGGAATGTATAAATCGAATTTATCAAATTTAATTTTTTCAGTTATTTTCGAACCAATTTCTCTTCTCTTTTTAACATAATAATTATCATAAATCAAATGTACATAGATAATCAGAGCGACGATGATATTAATTGCAAACGGTATAGTACGTTTTATTAATAAAAGATTATATATTAGTCGAATAATATTTGTAACTACATATTAATTATTTTCTTTCAAACAAGATCATAAAAATCTGTACTTATATATATGTATAACTGAAATCAAAGCACAATATAATTAGTTATACATATATATAAGTACAGATTTTTATGATCTTGTTTGAAAGAAAATAATTAATATGTAGTTATAAATATTATTCGACTAATATATAATTGCATGCGCAGATATCTTTACTAAACCCTTGAAAATCCTATAAAGAAGTTTAGAGAAGAATTGAAAGGAAAAGTTGATATGATAATTTGCATGAAATTAAAGAATGCAATATGTATTGAGAAAAATAATTTCATGCAAATTACTTTCTGCTAATTATAGTCTGATTGAGCGTCGCGGTTTGGCGAAAAGATGTTAATGAGAGGAACGTACAGTGAGAGGATAATCGCGGCAAACACGTTACTCTCCGGCAACACTTAATACTCATATACGCGATGCTCGTCGCTTTTTCTGTTACGATCGTTGCTAGCGTAATCACGTGGTGCCTACGAACGAACGAGCGAATTAGACGATAATTACGGTAAGTATCCAAAAATTTCTATATTGCAAACATTATTCATTTTGTTTATTTTATTTCTAATTGTATCTTTCACGTTTATTATTTTTTCTCTTATTATACGGTATAATAATATTGCAATTATCTTTAGTCGGTTGTTGGTATTTCGCAAATTAGTTATACTTACAATTATTTGGGTAATTTTGAGATGGTCGTTATTCCAACAAATATGATAATAATTTAACGTGCGACGCACTGTCGCGCGCTATAATGTGCGCGATTGATATATGCATGCAAACATATGATGTTGTTATAATTATGATAATGCATTTTAAGAAAATAAAAAAACTTCCAAAAAAATGTCCAATAGCGGCAGGCAAAGGAATGCATCCCCAGCCTGCAGAAATGTTTGGTCAATCGACATTGAATTGACTGTATCGATCGAGATTAATTTTTACATACAAAAATCGCTTTTGACTAGATATTTTGATTGCGAGCGTACAAAGTTAATTCATTTGACGATAATTGAGACATTTCTTCCATATATTTCATTACATAATTTTGACTTCACACCTATAATTCGTCCTATATTAGGCCATTTTCAATGTTAAAATCTTCTCATTGTATAATTAAGTCGGTGAATATGAGAGAATAAAAAATTAACGCTTATTAAATACCATCTAGGAAATATAGTTCAATCCAAATCCACTAAAACGCATATGCACAATCGAGCTTATGATGCATTTTAGTGGATTTGGATTGAACTATATTTCCTAGATGGTAAATAAGTGTTAATTTTTTATTCTCTCATATTCACCGACTTAATTATACAATGAGAAGATTTTAACATTGAAAATGGCCTAATATAGGTCGAAACGTCTGTTGGTTGTTGTAATCACTCGATGTAATATTATTGGA